CCTCTGCTGCTGAGGCTACTACGGCGTGCGTCCACTTGGAGGTTCCTTCTCAGCCCCAACAGTGAGTGCTGCTGATGTGCTCTGCTGGCTGAAGCCATGGATTGTCTGCTTGGCTTAGCAGCATGAGAAACACAAAACAATGTTAGTAGATAGTGAGCAGGCTACAGATGATATCTGAATGAAAAATCTGCCTGGAAAGGGGTCCTTCTGCTGCTGGCTCTCTGTCTCATAAGCTGCCTGCCACTGTTACTCCAGGTCTGAAAAAATGGTGGAGACACTTGCAGCTGCAAATTTAAGAGTGTGGGCAATCTGCAACTTCGAGAACCAGGGCACTCATGCAGAAAATGTGCTTCAGGTGCTTGGCACTAAGTTAAAAGCAGGAGTTTCTTGGCAAAGCTGGGACAGTTGGCAAGTTTGACCTTCCCAATTCTAATGCTTGGCTTTAAATCAACTCAGCCTCTTGACCATGTTTGTCTGCTGCATGTGTTGATTTGTAGCCAAATAATTTGGCTAATAGTTGGGCTATCTGCATTAATGTGCCTAATAAAGTGGCCACTGAGTACAAATGGCAAGGTTGCATATGATTAGTGCTGACATCCTGCTATGTCACAAGATTTCAGGTTGTATTAAATGAGAAAAAAAAGTTTAACGCAGTGCTCTCACGTGATATAAATAAACTGCTGCATACTTACAGGAAGGACTGTTCCTCTTTGTTTCAACAAAGCCACAGTTGATAATATTATGACAATCTGATAACACAATTTACATGTAATTAGGTCTGGGCACCCCAAAAGTGGTTAGGAAACCCCATTGCACACTTATTCTGTTGAAACTTGTCAGCTTGCAACATGACTAGACCAGCCTACTGATCAAACATTTCTTTACAGGGAGTCTTTAACCACTTCAAAACCAGGTGTTTAGACCCCCTTCCTGGCCAGGCCATTTTTCAGTGTTCAGCGCTGCAGTACTTTGGCTGACGTTTGCAACGCTGTACTGAAATTAATTTTATACCATTTTATGGGGACACACAGAGCTTTATTTTATAACATTGATTAGAAGAACAACCAGAGCGCTATCATGCATCCCATCACAACATGTTTATCCAGACCAGCAAACCTCTTAATGGTCGTCATACAAGCATTTAGTAAAGTCTGGCAGGCCAGAACACTAATACCGTGTTTCCCCGAAAGTAAGACATCCCCCGAAAATAAGACCTAGTGTCTTATTTCGTGCAAAAAAAAAAAAAAGACACTGTCTTATTTTCGGGGAAACACGGTAGCTCATCAACTGGCAGGCAATAAACTAAGCACAGATTATAATAGCAGTCAAAAAACTATTTAAGCACAATCCATATGGTTAGTCTGGAGTCAAATGACCTGTAAATATCCCTGTTAACATAGCAAGTTTCCACACTCCACACATTATCCATAACTCTTGACCTGGGGGGTGCTACAATGATAAGGAGTATATTCAATTATGTCAGAAAACACTGGTCACATACATACCATGCACCCCTGTTTTATGAGGTACAGAGGGCCAATGTCAATTACCCCTTCTGAGGAAGCCATATATCACATGTTTGCCAAGTTTGATGTTTATAATATTACAATTTGGTGCTGTACAATAATCCTTATGTTGTCAGACTGTAGCATGTGGTACAATAAAAATATGGCTGCATTTACAGTGGCTTGCAAAAGTATTCAACCGCTTGGCATTTTTCTATTTTGTTGCAGCCCCTTAAAACACTCAAGTGTTGCTTTAGCAGTATGCTTAGGGTTATTGTCCTGCTGGAAGGGGAACCTCCATCCCAGTCTCAAATCTGTGGCAGACTGATACAGGTTTCCCTCAAGAATTGCCCTGTATTTAGTGCCAGCCATCATTCCTTCAATTCTGACCAGTTTACTAGTCTCTGTCGATGAAAAGCATCTCCACAGCATAATGCTGCCACCACCATGTTTTACTGTGGCGATGGTGTTCTCAGGATGATGAGAGGTCTTTGGTTTTCGTTAGACATAGCGTTTTCCTTAAAGGCCAAAAAGCTTCTTCCTTACATTTGGGGAGTCTTTCACATGACTTTTGGTGAACAACAAACCTGTTTGCTTTTTTTTTTGGAAGCAATGGCTTTTTTTCTGGCCACTGTTCCATGAAGGCCAGCTCTGTGATAGAGTGGTCCTATGGACAGATTATCCAATCTCCGCTTAGGAGCTTTGCAGCTCCTTCAGGGTTATCTTAGGTCTCTTTGTTGCCTCTCTAATGAATGCCCTCCTTACCTGGTCAGTGAGTTTTGGTGGGCAGCCCTCTTTTGGCATGTTTGTTGTGGTGCCATATTCTTTCCATGGATTTATTGGTGCTCCGTGGGATGTTCAAAGTTTCTGATATTTTTTTGTAACCCAACCCTGATTTGTACTTCTCCACAACTTTGTCCCTAACCTGTTTGTAGAGCTCCTTGGTCTGGGGCCTTTCAGAACAGGTGTATATATAATGAGATCACGTGACACTTAGATCACACAGGTGGTCTTTATTTAAATAATTATGTGACTTCTGATGGTAATTGGTTGCACCAGTTCTTATGTAGGGGCTTCATAGCACAGGGGGTGAATACATATGCAACACACTACTTTTCTGTTTGTATTCTACATTCATACATGCTGACGGGCCCCCAATCATCCATCTGAGAGAAATTAAACATTTAAAGCTGGCTGCTATATCCCATCCCCTGATCGACTAGATTACTGGGTTGAGATTAAGGGGGATAGTTCTCTATATGTATGTTGCTTGCACAGACTCATTAGAATATGGTAAATTTACCACTTTTCTTCCTCCCCAGGAATGACACAATTGGATACACTAGTGGATTGACAGTTGATGTCAAACAATGTGTCTTTTGTATTGAATTTCAATGTTATGGGAGCATTGCTTCCCTTCTTTTGTATCATCCATCCACAGTGTTAATTTGAGATTGAAACCTTTTCACCTATATGTATTAACTCCTTTATGCGGTTATCAGCTGGAAATATAGTTCATAATGACAGCTTAATTGTTTGAGGCACTGAGCCATCCTGAAACTCCTAACTGGTATTGCTTGCTGTTAGATCAGTGTAGTGTATGATAAACCAATTCCATTTTTTCAAACAAAGCCAACAAAGCTATCTTATTCATAGTTTAATGTACACTGATCCACCAATGTCGGATCTCAGTCCAGAGTTCATATCATCCTGATTCCGCATACCCGAAGCAGCGGAATCAGTATTATATGCACTCTGGACTGTACTCAGAGTACTCAGGCTTCACCAAGAAGTGGTGTTCATTCATAAAATCTGCCCCAGAAAAAACAATATTTATTTTTTTATCCTTCAACATATAGAATACTAGATGACAAATTATGTTGTCTCTTTTAGCTCTAATTCTCAGCACCAACAACATTTTCAATGTTTGCATTTTTAAAATATGCATGTGAAAAGATCAGTTTAGTGTGTAGGTGGGTGTGTGTGCTTATTACATATTTACGTATTCAGGCTCTGGTTGCTTTCTGGTTGTGACTTGTTCACATGTTTACTAGACTGGGTCTGTTTTATTGAAAACAATAGACTCTGCAGTTGCTAATGAACTGAAACAAGCCCAATGTCCTTGGTTGCCAGAGATCATGTGATTGAGGCTGCTTTCCACGCTGGAAGATTTTTTTTTTTAATATTTGTAGCAGGAAAGTATATTTTTTTATTTTCTTATTCCAATTCGAAATGTGATTTAGTTATTCTGACCTGTATCCTGTTTGTCTATTAATATTTTATGATGTGAATTTAATTGTAGATCAGCTTTAAGCCTTGGCTAGATTAAGCGTTAAAAGAAGGGACTATAGGAGTGTTTACAGACTGACACAAACCGAAATGTGGACCCTGTTCCTCTATACGACGACTTTCCCTGCAAGTGAAGACTAAGGGGTAGCTGGTGTTCCACCACGGGTCCCTCAAGGGAGTTTGGGCTTAACTACTAGCTAACTTCAAGTCCATTTCCACCTTTGTAAGTGATTAGCATTTATTGTGGCAATGAAAAGGTGCAGTGATGATATATACATGTGCACATTTTCATGACTCGCATTGCAAGCTTTCTTCTTTTTTTATTGAAGTTTTTATTAGGCTTTAATACTAGAAATTTCAAAATTTTCTCTACAGGAAATTAAGTCTGACACTGGGGTCAGATTGTAAAGCAGGCTGTAAATAGGTGCCCCTTCCCTGTAATTTTGTGTAACATGATCACTAAACACCAGCTCTGCCTTTGCACACAATACACTGGAGTGCCGCTATGAATACTAATGAATGGGGGGGTGGAGAGCTCACAGAGAGAGCTCAGTTGTAATATACACACATACACAGAGGTGGCTATTTCCATGAGGCTAACAAGAGGAAAGCTAACAAAAAATGTACGTTTCTGTGTTAATATATAGCAACTGCATATGTCTGCTTCATGTACATTCATACATTGTTGGCATATGTTTTTTAAAAATGCCTCTGCGAAGGTGGAACTGGGCTTTTAGCTCACCCTACAGGTATTCACAGATGTGGAGGATGGGAGACTGTGGGTGCTGTGAAGACTGCAAAGGAGACTGCAGGTGCAGCAGAAGCCAGGCTGCGTGTGCAGTACTGGCCGGGCTGTGGATGCAGTGGATGTGGTCGCAATTGAGACCAGGCTGGGGTGCAACATAGATTTTGGCTGCGAGTGCAACAGTGAGTGCAGTCTTTGATAGCTCGGGGCATGTTTGACACTATCCTTGAGCAATGACATCACGTCCCACAAAATTGCTAATAAACCCTAAAGAAGGAGGAGACGCTGGCACTGGAACACGGGAGGCAAGTGAGCGTGACCCAGGCATTCATAACACTATATACTGGACCATATATGGAAGATCTGAAAGTTCCTCCTTTGCAGTTTCACTTTGTTGAGGGATGTGACAAAGGAAATACTCCGACATTCTCAGGTTTGAGTCAGCTTGAATATAATTCCTCTTCAGTAAACAGCTCATGTGATTACTCCTAAATTCTATCAAGCTCTTCTGTTTGCCCACAATGGATGACCAGGAGAACACTATATCTTTGAAAGATTTTATTACATCCTTGTCCATTTCCTCACTGCCAAGGATATTACAGATTGCCTCTGGTGTCTACCTGCAGAGTAAGTATAAAATATATTAGACACAGCT